CTGCATGGAACCCTGGTGATGGCACATGCCAGTGATCCCAGCACTTGGAGATACAGTTAGGAAGATCAGAAGTTCACAGTCATCCTCACTACATAGGAGTTGAAGGCCAGCCTGGACTAAAAGAAAATAATGGCCTTTGTGCTAAAGGTATGGAGGTCAAATAAATGATTTAATTATGAGAGTAGAGAGATGGGTAAATCTTCAAAAGATTTTACATTTATTTAATTTATTTATTTAGAGTGTGTGTCTGTGTGTGTGTGTGTGCATGTGTGCCAGTGCTCATGGGTGGAGATCCAAGGACAGGAATCTGTTCTCTTCCTCCACCATGTGGGCTACACAGGGAAACCCTGTCTCAGAAAACAAAAGTGCTGAGACAATAATGCTGTGTGTGGTAGAATACTTAGTATGCTCCATACCCTTGGTCCCATCAGTTGCACTACAAAAACAAGCAGGGATGGGGGTGTATTCAGTGGCAGAGTACTTGTTAGCATACACAAGGCCCTAGATTCAATCCCAGTATTGCAGAATAAGTGACACAGCCATATGCTGTGCCTAGCATATGCATAAAGCTTCACGACACAAGCCTTCCCCTTTTTGACAGGCATGCTCACACTTAGTCATTTTCTATTCCTTTCCTTTCTTCTCGTTCTCTTCTCTTGTGTTCTATTGTCATGAGCATGCTGTGTCAGAAACATAGATGAGCATGTTTGTTTCCACAATGTCAGAACTGACTGAAGAATAAATTCACAAAGTTCAGTGATTTTATTGGCAGCAATTTGTGGGATAGTCCTGCTTTCCCTGATAGCCCTGGCTGAGACAAACATGGGTTGTTGTTTTTTTAATTCCAATCATAATTACTAACTCTCACATCACACATCACATGCCACTGTAAAGGCTGTAAAGGGTTAAGAGGTCACAACAAAGTTTAAGAGGTTTCAGCACAAGAAAACTGATAGAATTGCAAATAGAGTCTCTGTGGCCGGTAAAGTGGCAAACCTGCTGGAGGTCTCTGGACAGGTGCTGTGGCTGCTGTTGTACTCAGGCGGCATTGTCAGAGTTGAGCTGCAGGAGAGCAGTGAAGAACAGGTCCTGGAGGATGGATGGTGGATGGATGGATGAATAGGATGGATGGATGGATGGATGGATGGATGGGTGGGTGGTGGATGGATGGTGGATGGATGGATGGAGAAATGAGTGGATGATGGATGGATGGATGAATGACTAGAAAGATGGATGGATGGTGGATGGATGGATAAATGAATGGATGGCTGAAGGATGGATGGGTGGTGGATGGATGGATAAATGAGTGGATGGATGGTGGATGGATGGATGATGGATGGATGGATGGATGAATGAATGGATGGATGGTGGATGGGTGGATGGATGAATCGATAGGTGGATGGATGGTGGATGGATAGATGGATGAATGAATAGATGGATGGATGAATAGATGGATGAATGGTGGATGGATGGATAAATGGATGGATGGATGGAGGATGAATGGATGGATGGGTGGATGAATGGATGGATGGTGGATGGATGGATTATGGATGGATGGATAAATGGATGGATGGAGAGTGGATGGATGGATGGATGGGTGGATGAAGGATGGATGGGTGGATGAATGGATGGATGGTAGATGGATGGATGGTAGATGGATGGTGGATGGATGGATTATGGATGGATGGATAAATGGATGGATGGAGGGTGTATGGATGGATGGATGGTAGATGGATAGATGAATGGATGGATGCTGGATGGATGGTGAATGGATGGATGAATGGATGGATGGATGGTAGATGGATGGTGAATGGATGGATGAATGGATAGATGGATGAATGGATGGATGGTGGATGGATGAATAGATGGATGGATGGATGGTGGATGGATGGATGCTGGATGGTGAATGGGTGGATGAATGGGTGGTGGATGGATGGATGGTGGATGGATGGATGGTGGATGAATGGATGAAGGATGGATGGGTGGATGGTAGGTGGATGGATAGATGGATGGATGGTGGATGGATGGATGAATAGATGGATGGATGGTGGATGGATGGTGGATGGATAAATAGATGTATGGATGGATGATGTATGGATGGATGAATGGATGGATGGTGGATGGATGGATAAATAGATGTATGGATGGATGGTGGATGGATGGATAAATAGATGTATGGATGGATGATGTATGGATGGATGAATGGATAGATGGGTGGTAGATGGATGGATGGTAGATGGTGGATGGATGATGGATGGATGGATGGATGAGTAGATGGATGCTGGATGGATGGTGAATGGATGAATGGATGGATGGATGGTAGATGGACAGGTGAATGGATAGATGGATGGATAGTGGATGGATGGATGGTGGATGGATGGATGATGGATGGATGCTGGATGGATGGTGAATGGATGGATGGATAGATGGATGGATGGTGGATGGATGCATGAGTAGATGGATGGATGGATGGATGGTTGGTAGGTGGATGGTGGATGGATGGTGGATGGATGGATGGATGGTAGATGGATGGTGGATGGATGGATGGATAAATAGATGGATGGATGGAAGATGAATGGATGGATGGATGAAGGATGGATGGGTAGATGAATGGATGGATGAAGGATGGATGGGTGGATGAATGGATGGATGGTGGATGGATGATGGATGGATGGATAGATGGATGGTGGATGGATGGATGAATAGATGGATGGATGGTGGATGGATGGTGGATAGATGGATGGATGGCAGGTTCAGATGGGCATCATCAGCAAGGTAGGCAGACAGTAATTCAAGTGGACTGACTTAACAGCGGGGACAAAGCTGAGCTGAAGTCTCTGAGACATTTGGGAGTTTTCTGCCTGCCAACTGTCAGTTGACAGGTGGTGCCCCATTGCAGTGCCAGGTCTCTTTCCCTTTATGGGGCTCAAATAAGGAAGTTGAATCCTTTCCTCAGTCCGGTGTGTCTAAGTCCTCAGGCTTGGCTTTTATGATATCCTCTCAACATGCCATGTGCTCCTACAGATCCGATTTTCCCTGGTAAATTTATAGGGTGGCATCCTTTCTACTCCCAGGAATAAGTCATTTATCATTCTGTGCTCTGTGGGTGGTGCTGGAAAGATGGTGCCATTCACAGGTCTACCCAGGCTTACATTAAAAATAGTCAAAGGCTGCTTGTAGAACAGAGTCACTCAGGGCAAAGCACAGCCTGAAAAGCAGTTTTATACAACACGGGGTAATGTGAAGCAGGGCACAGCTTGATCTCAGCAGCCTATTCTGTTGTCCTGTTCAATTCTATACTGTTTCACTCTCTCTATCCTATCTTACTTTATTCTTTCATTTTGAGAAGTGGTAGTAAAATGAGGTAGTGAAACTCACTAAGCTGATTCCTCAAAACGACAAAGCCCACATTTTAGAAAATACCGTAGTCAGTGGTTTACTTGATGATTGTTATGGGAGGCTTGTGTGGGTTAGCCCTAGCTGTCCTGGAACTCACTATGTAGACCAGGCTGGCCTTGAACTCATAGAGATCCGCCTGCCTCTGCCTCCCAAGTGCTGGGACTACAGGTGTGCACCACCATGCCCGGCTGTACCTTCATTTTGAAGAGGCACCACAGATGAATCTGCTTCAGACTCTGGGAGATTTTTGAAAAACTTTATTATTATTTATTAATTTATGTATTTATTTGTCTTTTTGAGACAGTGTCTCCTTGTAGTCCCAGCTGGCCTGGAACTCACTATGTAGACCAAGCTGCCTACCTCTGCCTCCCAAGTGCTGTAATTAAAGTCACGCACCACCATGCCTAGCCTTAAAAGCTTATTTTTATTTTACATGTATGAGTGTTTTGCCTGCATGTATGTAAGTGTATCCATGCAGCTCAATGTCTCCAGAAGCCAGAAGAGTGTGTAGGATCCCCTGGAACTGGAGTTAGAACCAGTTGTTAGCCACCATGTGGGTGCTAGGAACTGAACCTGGAGCAGCCAGTGCTCTTAACCACTGAGCAATCTCTCTGGCTCCTCTGGGAGATTTTCCCTGCTACATTCCTGACAGGACACAGATGCTCACTCCACTTGCTTCCTGAGAGAACAAGCAGGGTGGGGGCAGGTCCATGGGCTTAAGGGCACTCGGGGTGAAAGGGTGCTGTGACTGGAAGATGCTCTTCTGGCTTGATGCCGACTGGCTGCCACGCTGCGGGGGGTGGGGGGGTTCAGGCTTACATGTACACTGGTGGAGACTGGAGAGATGTCAGCCTTCTGACATCTCTTGTGCCATCATAGACAAAGGAAATGGTGTTCGTGGCAGTGACTTCAAAATGAGTTGAAAGCATTGGGGTCACTACGGGGTTATGTGGTGGCCTCCTCTGTAGCATGTGTTAGGTGGACAAAAGTGCCACTGGAGCTGGGCATGGTAGCACATGCCTTTAATCCCAGCATGCCCGAGGGAGGCAGAGTCAGGCAGATCTGTGAGTTCAAGGCCAGCTGGTCAGGGCTACATAGTGAGACCCTGTCTCAGAAAAAAAAAAAAAAAAAAAAAAAAGTCGCATTAAGTACTTCTTTGCTAAACTGAAACTGCTGTCAGGAAAACAATGGTTTGGGTTCCATTGAGAAAACTCAGAAAAGCTATTTCTTCAGAAATCATTTCCCTCCCTCCCTCCGTCCGTCTGTCCCTCCCTCCCTCTCATGATCCCACTGCCTCGGCCTCCTGGGTGCAAGGGTTAGCTCTCCATCTGCACTCTGCTTCTTAATGGTTTTGTTTGTAGAGATGGCCAGGAGAGACAGGAGTAATAAACTCACTAGGACAGAGACGCTAGAATCTCTTCACAAACTCCCCAGTGACTTGCTATGGCCGTTCAGTCTTCTTTGCCTTTGATAAGTTTTTCAGATGAGTTAATTATCAGGGAATAGTTTTTTTTTTTGGCTATGCCGTGATTAATTTCTAGAGTAATGTGCTAACATTTGGAGCCTCATTAATCTTTGGGAAATTAATATTTCCTTTTCAGGATTCAGAGAAGATACGCATTGAAATTGTTTCCCTGGCCTTCTGCCCTGAGGCCGAAGTGATGTCTGACGAGAACATACAGCAGGTGTATGTGGAGTACAAATTCTATGATCTGCCTTTGTCAGAGACAGAGACGCCAATGTCCCTGAGAAAACCAAGGGCAGGAGAAGAGATCCACTTCCACTTTAGCAAGGGTGAGCTGTCCTGTGTATCTGCTGGGGAGAGGAGGCAGCCGACACTTAGAGGTAGTCAGAACTACTCTGGGTTTCTTATTTACCAAAGTAGATAGGCATAGGGTTTAAACATAAAAGTAAGTCTACAAATTGTGGACATTTCTGTGATCTTGGATCAAGAACTTGAGCAATTTTACTCTACACCTGTATACCTTCATTCCAATGTAACTGTCTTATTTTCATTTCAAGTTTAATTAGTTCTGTTATTCTAAACTATACAACTGTTTTTGCAGAACCAAGTAGCATGCCATGAGTATATTTCCTTTTTGTTCATTTGCTTCAAAATTTCATATGCTTTTATTTTCAGTTTTTACTTTGTTCTATACCTTCTAACAGCCTTTCCAATTTTCTTTTTTTTTTTGGTCTTTTTGAGATGGGGGTCTCCCTATAGCCCCAGCTGTCCTGGATCTCACTATGTAGACCAGGCTGGCCTTGAACTCACAGAAATCCAGCTGCCTCTGTCTCCCAAGTACCGAGATCAAAGGCGTGCATCACCATGCCTGGCTGCCTTTCCAAATTTTGAATAATCAAACATATCAAACAATTTATCATTTGCCCCCATCTCGTTAGCCACTGTCAGCCACTGTCCGTCCAGTGACAGGCACGTCCTCAGGAGAATCTGATTGAATTGATTCCCTGCCCTATCCTCTGTCTGGTTTCTTATTTTAATGGATTTTTTTTTTCTTTCTTCAGTAGTTTCCAGGGAAAGGGATGTTGGAAGTAAATTTTTTTGAGATAGATATGAAAATCTTTTTCCTACCCTCCAAATGACTGAAGTAAACGAATACCTGTGTCAGTTTGTTAGGTCTGATACCTGTGTCAGTTTGTTAGGTCTGATACCTGTGTTAGTTTGTTAGGTCTGATACCTGTGTCAGTTTGTTAGGTCTGATACCTGTGTTAGTTTGTTAGGTCTGATACCTGTGTCAGTTTGTTAGGTCTGATACCTGTGTTAGTTTGTTAGGTCTGATACCTGTGTTGAAATGTTTCCGTCCAAAATCTCAAAGCAAGCTGGTTGATCCCAGCACTTGGGAGGTAGAGGCAGGTGGATCTCTCTGAGTTCAAGGCCAGCCTGGTCTACATAGTGAGTTCCAGAGGGAGACTGATCCATGAAGGAGTCTACCTACCTTCTTAATGAAAACTACCCCTACCTCTCTAGAACACTTCAATGTCTTCTCTTCATCTTTAATTTCCCCAATTTCAAAATAATGCATGTATTTTTATTTTGTTAAAAGCATTTTATTTGTATGCCAGGCATGGTGGTGCACACCCTTTTTCCCAGCACTTGGGAGGCAGAGGCAGGTGGATCTCTGTGAGTTCAAGGCCAGTCTGGTCTACATAGAGTTCCAGGACAGCTGGGGCTACAGGGAGATCCTGTATCAAAAAGACTTAAAAAAAAAAAAAAAAGGCATTTTATTTGTAATTACATGTATATGTATGTACATATGAGTGCAGGTGCCTCCAGAGGCCTGAACAGGGTGTCTGATCCCTTGAAGCTGGAGTTACAGGCAGTTGTGAGCTGCCTGACATGGGGGCTGGGACATGAACTCAGTCAGGTCCTCTAGAAGAGCAAGTGCTCTTAACCACTGAGCCCTCTCTCCAGTGTGTACACATGCGTGCATGTGTTTGTGTGTGCATATGTTATATATATAAATGGCAGATTGTTTCACTGTGGAAGCTTATGGCTTTTAGTTCTGGGAAATTTTGTCTTTTAGTCATTGAAGATTTATTTTTTAATTAATCTTTTTTTTTTTTTTTTTTGGTCTTTCCAGCCTCTGCCTCCCAAGGGCTGGGATTAAAGGTGTGTGCTACCACACCTGGCTCTTATTTTTTAATTTATTTTGTTTTTGTTTTCTTGAGAAAGGTTCTTATTGTGTAGGCAAAACTGGCCTTTAACCTGAGAGGGCCTTCTATCTCAGCCTCCCAAGTGCTGGGATTACAGATGTGTACCATCAAGCCCAGCTGGCTAAAAACTACTTTATTTTCTTAGTATGTCTTACCCTTGTATGTATGATAGATGACCAAACTGGCAGTCAAGGCTTTGACCATTGGGTTAATAAGGGGTCTGAACTCCTGTCTTAGCTTTCTATCATGCCTTCCCATCTGGGGTAGAATGCCTCCGGAGCCTTGGAGGCAGGCTTCCAGTGAAGCCTTCACACATCAGGAGGGACAGAACTTAGCCTCTTGTCCATATATTCCTAAAAGGAGACCAGACCAGAAAGCATAGGTTAATTTGAGGTTGTAACAGTCCCATATAAAAGTTTGAAGGAAAGCAAAAACTGATGTTAAGAAAGGTGCCCTGAGTTGAACCCACAAAACCCAAATCTTCAGGTACTAAAAAATCAAGTCTCAGACTGGCAAGAAGGCTCAGTGGGTAAAGGTGCTTGCCATCAAACCTGATGACCTGAGTTTGATTCCTGAACCCACAAGCTGGGAGAGAACGCCACAAAGTTGTCCTCTGAACTCTCTCTCTCTCTCTCTCTCTCTCTCTCTCTCTCTCTCGTAAAAGTAGTCTCCTACTAGAACTCTCCTACTTGTGGAGTGGTGGGAGCACATTTATTCTGGCAGATGGCAGAACAGCTTTCAATGTAGATTATGATGCCACTTTTATTACAAATTTCTTAAAAGTACAAATAGTGAATAGGTTTTGTGGGGCCTTCTCTGTCACAGCTATTCAACTCTGCCACTGTAATTCAAAAGCAGCTACAAGCTACAGGTACCTCAGTGGTAGAACATGTGGTTAGCATATATAAGGCCTTAGTTCAAATCCCAGTAACACACATGCACATAGAAAGGCAACCACAGACAACTGTTATGTATATGACTTTAGCTGTTTTTAATAAAACTTCAGGAAAACAGGCAAGCAGCCTGTAGGCCTTTGCCAGTTTGCTTTACAGCACTGTTTCAGGTGTGTCAGCTACTCAAGTTCTATATCCAAACGGCAACAGTTGGCTGCCCTTGGCTCTTTTCCTGTCAGTACCGAGGAGTGAAGCTAGGCACACCGAACGGCAATCTCAACTTTGCATTCTGTGCTTCTTTTCTTTTACTCTTAATACAGTGATAGACCTGGACCCGGGGGAGCAGGATGGCCGAAGGCAGTTTCTATTTGCCATGCTGCATGCTCAGGATCCTGAAGAGAGGCAGTAAGCATCTGCTTTCCACGTGGACACAAAGTGTATGGTCAGATGGGATTGTAACTGCTTGAGTTTGATCGTACTGAATATTTTAACAACTTAAGAGTTAATTTTCCCTTAATTAATCTCTTGTTTACTTGCATATACTTGTGTATGTGACTACCTAACCAGGTAATTACTCAAAGAGGTTTAGTTCATTCTCTCCCATGATAGCCCAACAGAAACTTGTGTTTGTGTGTGACAGCAATGACTTGAATCCCCAAAGCTAGTATTTTAAGCTGTTCCTTTTCTAGAAGCCCAAGAACGTAACCTTTCACTCTGCCTCTAGCCTGGGACGAAGTGGACAGCAGTGGGGTGGAGGAGTCTGCCCTCCGTGTCACCGCCAGCTTCAATAGCTTACTGGCAAAATTTGGGACTGCAAAGTGGTTTAGTTATTTGTCTTCTGTGCTTTTTAAATGACATCTTCATTTATTCCATTTGAGTGCACCTGTGTAGGTATGCACAGAAGCCATAGGACGTATTTCAGGAGTTGGTTCTCTCCACGTGCTGGGATCTGAGTTCATCAGGCTTGGTGGCAGGCACCGTTACATGCTGAGTCATCTTGCCAGCCTTTGTCCTCTTAAGTGTACTTAAGGTTAGGTCTTTTTTCTTCTTCCTCTAGACAGGGTCTCACTATGCAACCATGGCTGGCCTGGAACTCACTATGTAGACCAGGCTGGCCCTGAACTCACAGAGATCCACCTGCCTCTGCCTCCCAAGTGCTGGGATTAAAGGTATGTGCCACCACGCCTGGCCAGAGCTAATTCTTTTCTACTTTAGATTTCAACTGACTTTGGCATTTTTTTTGCCAGCATGGTATGGCAGACAGCACCTTGGCTTGTCATGCCAGAGCTGGTTTTGAATCCTGACTTCCACTCACTAGGAGGTAACACTGAGATAATATCGATGACCCAAAGCACTTGATCCTGTCCCTGGCCCATAGTGCACCAGTTATTGTAGCTTTCCTTAGAAAGCTGAGGTGTGGAAGTTCGCGTTCTGCCTTGCACTTCAAGGCAGGAATATCAAGTGAATGCTGCTCAAGGCAGACCATATATCCTTTCAGTAAGCTCTTCAATTCAGCCTAGCACTGTCAAGCTGTTCCCAGAGCTTAGTTTTCAGTCCTGTTCCTGCTGTTGTACAAGCAGCAATATTTGGGTCTCAAAAATTAATAGGAGACAGGTGTGGTAGCATGCCTGTAATTCCAGCACTTGGGAGGTTAAGGCAGGCCATTTTCAGCTACATAGTGAGTTCCAGGCCAGCTTGGGCTACATGAGACCTCAAAATGGGCAGGGCAGATCAGTGGATAAAAATGCTTTGCCGCCAAGCCTGATGCCCTGAGTTCAATCCCCAGAGCCATATTGGTGGAAGGAGAGAACAGACTCCCACATGTCTTCTGATCTCCATGTGCCTCCTCTCCCACCCCCACGTGCACCCTCCTCCTCCTCACCTTTTGCTGTTATCCCATTAAGTGGAGACAAGCAGGGTAAAGCGATACTACCGTGCAGGCCAGGCATAGTGGCACATGCCTTTAATTCCAGTAGAGGTGGATCTCTGTGAGATGGAGACCGACCTGGTCTACATAGTGAGTTCCAGGCCCCTGGGGCTACAGGGAGACCCTGTCTCGACAACAAACAAAACAGAACATCAAAGGTACTACTTTACTTGAACATATAAGCACTGCTGAGTTAAATGGATTTACTTTTGTTTTCAGTTTAAAGTTCACAGTGGTAAGTGATCCTCTGGATGAAGAAAAGAAAGAATGTCAAGATGTAGGATATGCATTTCTTGAACTGTGGCAGATATTTGAATCTGGAAGAGATATTCTAGAGGAAGAACTAGATAGTGAGTAATAACATTTTTGTGCATCTTCATCACTTGATTCATAAATAGCCTCCTTCTGAATAACTTTTGTTTTATTCCCAACATATTAAATGGTGGGTCAAACTTGTTTCAAGACATATCCCCCACACTTCATTTCTGGGACAAGTGTGAAAAATCACCAGTTATTGGGGTGATTGGGGCTGGAGAGATAAGAGCACTGGTTGTTCTTGCAGAAAATCTGGATTTAATTCCCAGCACCCACATGGGGGCTAGTAACTGTCCTTAATTCCAGTTCCAGGGGAGCCAACTACCTCTTCTCACCTCCACAGGCATTGCATGACACAGGTGCACCTACCTACATGGAGACAATACACCCATACACATAAAATAAAAATATATAAAAGGTTGGGTGTGGTGGCACATGCCTTTAATCTCAGCACTTGGGAGGCTGAGGCAGGCAGATCTGTGAGTTCGAGGCCAGGCTGCCTGGTCTACATAGCGAGTTCCAGGCCAGCTGGGGCTACAAAGAGACCCTGTCTCACCCCGCCCCCAATAATAATAAAATAAAAAAAAAAAATCAGTTATTTTGGCTTCCATATACCCGGTTACAACTAAATCTACTTTGATTCTCCAATATTTAAGGTAGGGAATTAAAAAAAAAACTGCAGCTGGAAAGATGACTTAGCGGTTAATAGCACTGGTTGCTCTTAGAGGACCTGGGTTCAGTTCCCAGAGCCCACATGGTGGCTAGTAAATGTCCATAACTCTAGTTCTAGGGGGATACAACACCCTTTTGCCTCTGTGGGCATTGCATGCACATGACACACATACATGCACGTATGCAAAACTCTTACACATAAAATAAAAATTAAAACAAAAAAAAATGCTGGGATTAAAGGCGTGCATCATCACGCCCAGCTAACAAAATTATTATTGTTGAATTGGTCTTCTTGTAGGCCCAGCTGACCTCCATCTCACAGAGATCCACCAGCCTCTGCCTTCTGAGTGCTAGGATTAGAGACATGTGTCACCATACCTGGCTTAAAACAAATAAAATTTCAAACAAAACACCCTAACTTCTGACTTCTTGGCTAAGGTGTGAAGGAGCTACAATGCCCTTTGTTGTGACCACAGCTGGGCTCTACTTCTCACCATCCTTTGGCTGCCATCTTACCACTGTACTGGGCCCCAACAGTCTCTCATTACTGGGGTACTTGTTTCATGAATAGGGTTTATTGAATTGGGATAGAAAATTATTTTATTGATAAAGTTTTGGGGGGATAGTCTTTAGGCTACAGATTATAAAGGTCAAACTTTAGGCTGGTAAGGGACTCACTGTGTTCTCGATCAAGTTATTTAACTCCTCTGCTCATTTCAACTACAATGGGGATAATAGTGGGACTTGTCTGATAGAGTAGTTGTGAAAATTAAGGGATGACAGGAGGATTATGAGCTCAGGAGAGTCTGACATATGGCAAGCCCGTCTGTGTTATTTCACCTTTCCTGATTTTCTGACTGCTCCATTCCCAAACATGCCGCACTCTTTACCTTTGTTCTTGTTACACATGAAAAACCCCTATAGGCCCAAGTGACCTCAAAACCCTCCAAGCCAACGAACAAATAGATGCTTTTCTTTTTTTTTTTTGTCTTTTTTTTGAGACAGGGTCTCCCTGTAGTCACAGATGGCCTAGATTCACCATAGAGACCAGGCTGGCCTTGAAGTCAGAGAGATCCGCCTGCCTTTACCTCCCAAGTGCTAGGATTAAAAGCATGTGCCACCACCCCAACTTGCTTTTGACTTTTTTACACATCAAAAAGTGTATTTCATCATTATGCACTCCATCAAGGTTTTTGCAAGATTTTTTGGGGGGAGAGGTCTTTTGTGTATGTATCTGTGTACAGGTGCTTGTAGAGTGTCTGATCCCTTGGAGCTGGTGTTATGCCTGTCAACCTTCATGTGGGTGCTGGGAACCAAACTCAGGTCCTCTGCAAGAGCAGCCAGTGCTCTTAACTTCTATGACATCTCTCCAGCCCCAGTTGGTCTTAAAAAGAAAAAAACAAATCCACAACCCCCCCATCTCTCATTGTGTACAGATGTGAGCAAGAGGTAAGTATGTTTTATTCCTTTCCCACAGTTGTGAGCCCCGAAGATCAGGCTACCCCAATAGGAAGGCTGAAGGTTTCCCTGCAGGCAGCAGCTGCCCTCCAAGGCATTTACAAGGAGATGACTGAAGATCTGTTTTCATGAAAGGAACAAGCACTACTACATTCTAAAACCTCTCAGGGAATCACAGTAAAAGTCTCTTATAAAGTAACATGCTATGCCATAAATCTGGTTTCCTGTGCTACCTAAGTATCCATTTTTCTTTTAAAAAATTTTTGGATTTATTTTTATCTGTATGAGTGTTTTGCCTGCATGCATGTAAGTGCATCATGTGCACGCAGTAAATGCCTGCAGAGGTGAGGAGGGCATCAGAGCCTTTGAAACTGGAGTTAGGGACACTTGTTAACCACCATGTGGGTGCTAGGATCTGAACCTGGGGCCTCTGCAAGTAAGTGCTCTTAACCGCTGAGCCATCTCTCCAGTTCCTAGTATCTATTTTTCCACCTAATGATGAGGCTTAGAATCAATGAACTTTTGAGATACAAACTGATAAAGGTATTTTTTTCTACCACCTTAACATTTTATTTAGTAGGTGAGACTTAATTTTAGGAACTGCAAAGAAGTGTCATAAAAGGCGAATTTACAAAAACAAAACAACAAAAAAAAACCCAGTTTATTTATCTTTTAGTTCTTCCAAAATTCAAAATATCAAGTCCTACTGCTAAGGAGAAAACAAACAAACATAAAATCTGAGAGTCCCTCCCCCTTCTCATAAAGTCACAGAACAGAGGAGGTGAAATGGGACAGGTGGGTGCAGAGAACCAGAAGGGGAGGACGGCAAGATGAACTTCCCCAGTACTTAAAAGCTGTTCATCAGAAACTGATAAATACAGGGCAATGCAGGACACGTGGAAGTAAGGAGCCGCAGTGCCAAGGCTGCGCTGGGGATGCCTTCTGCTTCTCTTCTTGTCAAGGTATTCTAGGCCAAGGCATGACTTACCCTTTCCAGATATGATCACTGACTCCTGGAAGCCTCCCTCTAGGTTTCACTTGCAGAGTAAAAGGCACAACCATTCCTTCTTATATGTATCAGAGAAGAGACAGTGGTAATTTGCCTTCGAGCACTGTACCATGTATGAATTTGTAAGGAGAAAAAAAAAAAAACAAAAACCCAAGCCAGGGAGCATCACTGCTTCCTATGTCTTCCAAGGCAGCAGAAACGCCTCAGAATCTGCATGAGCAAGAAAGCAGGAAACGTAAAACCAGGCACCAGCCCAATGTGCCTCACTAGCTGAGTTGTGAGCATCACAATCCTTAGCAAATTCCAAGAACCTTTTCCCGAATGTTGCAGATACAGAACTTAAAGGGATGTGAGGAAGGAGAAGATGGAGGACTGAATCTCCAGAACCTCGGTACAGCCAGGTGTGCTGGCTCTCTCAGGCCTCTGATCAGTCCCAACACTTGGGAGGCAAAGTTCAAGGACAGCCTGGTTTACACAGTGAGTTCCAGGCCAGCCAGGGCTACATAGTGAGACTGTCTCAAAAAGCCAGAAGAAAGAAAAAGGAAAGGAAAGGAAAGAACCCACGGCACAAGTAGTTGATGGTCAGCATGTAAGGGTGCACCACTGGCTTGGCAATACAACTTTGAAATACCAAAGATAGGGTGTCAGAAGCCACCAATGCCTTGGCCGAGGGCGACAAAAGAAGAGGGAACAGCATCAACAGCGGCCCTCCCTTGCTAGCTATCTGACTGGGGCCATGGGCACATGTCCTCATGGGCCTGGAATTCCCCGGGCACATGTCCTCACGGGCCTGGAATTCCCCGAGTAGCTTGGTCCACACATATGGCCCCTTAAACCCATAAACAAATGGCAAAACTTCAACGAAATCAAAAGGAAAAATACAGTTTCTATGTCATGTAAAATTTTTAGGAGTTGTCTGGAAGAATGGAGCTCAGTACCAAAGTTCAGATGTTACTTTCTCTTTTTCTTGGGGGGTGCAGAGCTGTGTCTGGAACCACGATTAGAGCCACGGCTTGAACTGTGTACAGATGCCTTCCTCTTTCGGCTCATACTTCGACTCTGTTCTTCTTCTTCCTCATAACGACTTTCACGGTCCGCTAAACAGAAGACAGACTTATCTGTTAGCCTAAGATACCTAATATTTATGGAGAGCAGGAAATAGTAGAGAGAATATACTTTTGACTTTATTAATTAATTAATTATTTTTTTTTTTGGTCTTTTTGAGACAGGGTCTCCCTGTAGCCCCAGCTGTCCTGGAACTCACTATGTAGACCAGGCTGGCTTTGAACTCACAGAGATCCGCATGTCTCTGCCTCCCGAGTGCTGGAACTAAAGGCATGCACCACCATACCCAGCCTGACTTGATTTTTAATCTTAGTCACTTACCGAGTGTGATCTGGAACAAGTTCTTAACCTTCCATTTACTTATAATTAAGAGGCACCTGACCAAAGCATCTACCATATTTGCAACACAGCAGATAAGTATTTCCTTATAATTTTAATAATTCGTATTTGGGGCTTAGTCACAGAGTAGAGCCTAGAGCTTTCTATGGTGCACCCTGCCTATGTGCACACTGGGTGCTTAAACAGATGGAAAGTATGGGCATGTTCTGGATTTGACTGCTCCTTTGGTCAAGTTGTACCCATGACTTCTAGTTTTTTTGTTTTAATGTGTATGAGTGTTATGCCTACATGTGTGTAAGTGTACCCGTGTCATGCGAAGGACAGAAGAAGGTGCCAGATCCCTTGAAAATGGAGTTACAGATGGTTGTTAGCCATCATGTGGGTACTGAGATTTGAACTCAGGTCCTCTGCAAGAGCAGCCAGCTGAGCCACCTCTCCATCCCATTTTGTTTTTCATAATGTGTATTGTGTGTGTGTGTGGGCGTGCATGTGTGTGGACGGGGCATGGGTTGAAACCAGGTTTCTTCTCCCTCATTGAGACAGAGTCCCCGACTGAGCTTGGAGACCACTGATTTGGCTAGATTGGCTAGTGAAAGAGCTCCAGGGGTCTTCTTGTCCCTGCCTCCCCAGCATTGGGATTACAGGCATATGCACCACCACGTCCAGCTAGGTGCTAGGAATCCAAACTCAGGTCCTCACACTAGCATGGCAAGAACTGTACTTACTGAACTGTCTTCCTAGCCAACTTTATTAGTGTTCTTTGCTATTCTCATTAGGCTACTAACATTAACACCTCACACAGAAGTGTGCTAGAAATCCGTATATAAGGAAATATGTCAATAAATCACTGAAAACAACAATTTTAAATAACCTTTTCGGGCTTCCTCCTCCAGCTCATCCCAGTCCTTTCCACTTTCTTCTTCACTGCCCAGAGACTCCTTGGAGTAGTCTGAAAAACGTGGAGGACGTGTTAACAATGCAGGGTTACGACAGAATGACAGAATATTTTCCTCTAAAACAAGCAGCTTACAGAACACTGGATTAGGAAGCCATGATAAATGTTTTATTTTGTGTGTATGCAGGTCATCTGCTCGTAGGGGCACATGTGCCAGGGCCTTCCACGTCCCTCTCTGTCACACTGGTTATTCTCTTGAGATAGGGTATCTCAACAAACCCACCCGGAGCTCCCTGTTTCCTGGCTAGGCTGATGGCATGTTAAGTCCCAGTGGTCCGCCTGTCTGTCTTCCACCCCCATTTCCCAGCACCGCGGTTACCAATGTACACAGCAGCTCGCTTTTTAAGTGAGTGCTGGGGATCCAAACTCAGGATCAAGTAACAGCAAAGTGCTGTTTTTCACTGAGCCAAATGTTTTCTAACCTGATTCTTCCGCTTCTGATGAATAGTCTTCATCACTGTCCTCCTCTTCCTCTTCATAGTCATCTTCTGAAGGATTAAAAGTCTCATCTTCTATCTCAGACTCTGAATCTCCATCCTCAGCATCGCTCCCCTGATGAGTTAGGAAGAGCATAATACCTATTTACTTCTCTTTTTCATTCACCTTATTAACAAAATTAATTCCAAGTACTTAGTACACTAGAGCATCTTATACACAGAAACCAAACGAGAAACCTAAATAATGACAAGAGAGCTTGTGTTAAAATTATTGGCTAAGGTGCAGTTATTAGATTTTGAAACATCAAACACTCTTTGTATTAATGCAGTACGTAAATGCAGGACTATTTTTAAAAAATATTTTCTTTATTATTTTATGTGTATGAGTGTATTGCCTGCATGTGTGTAAGTGCGCCTGTGTCATGCAACACCCACAGAGGTCAGAAGAGGGTGTCCGATTCCCCTAGAACTGGAGTTAAATAGATGGTTGTTAGCCACCATGTGGGTGCTGGGAATCAAACCTTGGGTTCTCTGAAAGAGCAGCCAGTGCTCTTAACCATCTCTCCAGCCCTGGGAGGACTATTTTTTTAAAGTAATTTTTGTAATAGGTCCTAATTCCTCCCATACTCTGCAAATACTAAGAAGCTCTGTGAGGAATGAGGATGATTTCTATAGTTTCAAAGACATATTGATAGAGGGACTGCAAATGCTCAATTTGTTTGCAAAACTAATAAAAGAAACAATAATTCTGCCAAGCATGGTGGTACAGGCCTTTAATGCCAACACTTGGGAGGAGGCCAGCTTGGTCTACATAATGAGTTCCAGGATAGCTGGAGCTACAGGGAGACACTGTTTCAAAAAAAGACCAAAACCAACCAACCGACTAAAAAAAAAAAACAAAAAAACAAAAAACAAAAACCCCCACACTGTATTTACAACTTTTCCTTACTGGTCATGTCCTCCATGTGCTACTTATATATAATGCATTCTGTTCTGAGCACCTAAATGACAGCAAGCAACACTGCATACCAAAAAAAGAAACCCCACACTCACGCACCTCACCCTCAGGTTCCAGGAAAGACCAGCCACCTTGCTCAAAGAAGCCTTCAGGGTCATCCACAATGGTCTTCATGATCTTAGTCCAGTTGAGGGACTGTACTCCTTCTGTGTACTTTAGGTCGCAGGAACTGAAATGACATCACGATGTCAGACTCAAACTTCTGTTATTTTCTGACAATGTACAGTGTCGTTTAGATTGTTAGCTCGCACTGTAACACCCACGCATGCCCAAATGGCTGGTACTTGGCTTTCTAGAGCACTGAGCCTCCTAACAGCTCCTCCTCTCCCTCTCTTCCATTTTCTTCCTTCCTTAAGCACCACTCACTGCTCGCTCTTGTCTTCCCTGCTACTCAGCCAGGCTTCCTGCACCCCTCACGGAGTCCACCCTAGCTCCCGGGAGAGTCTTAACTCACAGCCAGTGCACAGCTAGTTCTGTGATGCTTATTTTTCAGCTCTTATCATTCACACTCCCTAATTAAGAAATAGGGACAGTTCTCACTGGCCCCGTCTCAATATTCTATTGCTTTCTGGTCTTGTTTCTTTTCTAAGCACGTAAAATGCCTTGAATTTATAAAATGCATAAGTAACCTTTTTTTCTAAATTCCAAAGAGAGGCAATTTTTACTTCTTTTTTGGTATTTTTGAGACAGTCTCCCTGTAGCCTCAGCTGACCTGGAACTCACTATGTAGATCAGGCTGGCCTTGAACTCCCAGAGATCTGTCTGCCTCTGCCTCCCAAGTGCTGGGATTTAAGGCATGACCACCTTGTCTAGCCAGAGATAGAGGCAATTTTTAACCCATTTTCCAGAAATAAGTTGAAGCAGGTTGCATAAAAATATAAATACAGGGTCTGGAGAGATGGCTCAGTGGTTAAGAGCACTCACTGCTCTTGCGGAGGACCTGGGTTCGATTCCCAGTACCCACATGGCAGCTACAAACTGTCCTTGACTCCAGTTCCAGGGGAATCTGATGCCCTCTTCTGACCTCCAAGGCATTGCACAGCACAGGTGCACTCACATACATGGAGGCAATACACTCACACACATAAAATAATAGAAATAAGAAATCAAAGACCAAAGCATTTGCCAACATGGGGTCAACTTTGGTGGAATAATGAAGGTTTCCATTAGCTCTGCTCCTTTTGTGGGGGAAAATCCTAAAGAGTTTTTGGGCTTGCTAACAGCAAAGGGTGGGGGTTTATTTACAGAAGAGTAGGTGCCTCCCTCATTTACAGCTGTGCTGGAAAGCCCACACTCAAATATAGATACTGTGACTTCCCAACAGCTGCACAAAAATGGCGAGAGCGGTGCCTCTTGGTGTCGTCAGCTCATATATCTTTAGCCCGTTCCCCACGCAGCTAAGGTTTACTGAGTGGGCGGGGTAACATGAGTCCTTGAGGGAGGTGTGACTTACTTATAGCTTGCTGGCATAGTGGTTGGGACCAGGTAGCCCTCCACCTCTTCCTCTGGCTCTTAACATTCTTCCCGCCAAAAAAAAAAAAAAAAAAAAAAGACCTTTCTTTAAAAAATAAATTTTTTTTTTATATTTTGTGTGTATGACTGTACTGCCTGCATGTAGGTAGGTACACCTGTGTCGTGCAGTGCTTGTAGAGGTCAAAAGAGGGCGTCACTGGTAGCCGCCATGTGGGTGCTGGGAATTGAACCCAGGTCCTCTGTAAGAACAGCCAGTGCACTTAACCACTGAGCCATCTCTCCAGTCCCAAAATGACCTTTTCTTATTAACTTCTGTTAAGTTCAGTTAAAATAGAGGCTAAGAAGAGAGAAGGAAGTGAAAAAGTGACAGTAAGGATAAAAGTCGTCAACGCTGCCCAAGACCCACTGGTAGAAATCCAGGGAAAGCAAATGCTTTCTCCTCCCAGCTGCTGAGCTGCAAGGCTTCCAGTTACCTTTCCATACCGAAACAACCAGAAAGCAAAAACAAAACAGAGACAACTTCCAGACCTGGATGAAAAGTACTACAAAAGTTGATTGGGAAGATGGAGCTGAGGTTTTGTTTCGTAACTGCCCCGATTTTTGCCCAGAGGTACTTCTTACGTTGCAGTACAGGAGGGAGAACCCGACTCCACCAGGAGCTGAAGGAGGGAGAATTTGGGAAGGCTGACATTCAGAGTACGTGGGACAGAAAACTGGAGGATAGCGATACACAGAAAGTCCTAGTGCACACAGTCACACAGGTAACAAATACACAAATAAAAAAATATTAAAAAAAAAAAAAAGCTGCACTGGAGATGGCTCAGTGGTTAAGAGCACTGGCTGCTCTTGAGAGAACCCAGGTTTGATTCCTAGCACCCACAAGGTGGCTAACAACACTCCAGTTCCAGGGGATCTGATGCTCTCTTTTGACTGCCGCAGGGACTGCACGACATGGATGTACTGACAACATGCAGGCAATACACTCATATACATAAAAAAAAGTCTTACACTTATCTAATGTGTGGTATTTCTGTGCATGCCTTGTGTATGTGGAGGTCGGAGGACAACTCTGGGAGCTGGCTCTCTCCTTCCACCATGTGGGCTTTGGGGACTGAATTTAGGTTTTCAGGCTTGGTGGCAAGCACTTTACTTGATGAGCCATCTTGCTGGCCCCAATACACATATATTCTTGAATAAGTAAATAAATTTTATCTCATTTTTCAATAAAAATAGAACTTGTAAGAAACATACCATTCATGTTTTACAAATAAATCACTATACATGCAATAAAGCTTATACATGTATCAAATAGAGAAAAAAGTTCTTTTTTCCTTTTAAAGATTTATTTCTATTGTGTATGTGAGAGAGAGAGACCATCAGATCCCCCCGAACTAGAGCTACAGATAGTTTGTGAGCCACCTGACATGGGTGCTGGGAGCCAAACCCAGGTCCTCAGAAGAGCAGCAAGTGCTCTAAACTGCTGAGCCATCTCTCTAGATTCAGATTTTTTATTTAGTTTATGTGAGTATCCATAAATTACTAATAGGTAGTCAGGAAAAAGTGAGTATCCCAATGCTTAACATCCTAAATTTACAAGTCATGTCTTTATTTTATTTCAGAGGTGTAGCTCGGTTGACAGAGTGCTTGCTCAGCATGCAAAAGCCCTGGCGTCTATCCCTGCACCATATAAACCAGATGTAGTGGCATAAGCTTGTAATCTCAGCACCTAGGTGGTGGAGAAAGGAGCAGAAGTTTAAAGTCATACCTAGGAATATGGGGAGTTTGAGATGAACCCAGGCTAGAGACCCTGCTTCAAAAATGGACCAAAGCTGGGCGTGGTGGCGCACGCCTTTGATCCCAGCACTCAGGAGGCAGAGGCAGGCGGATCTCTGTGAGTTCAAGGCTAGAGTGAGTTCTAGGCCAGTTGGGGCTACAGGGAGACTGCCTCAAATAGACACACACACACAAAAAGGAAAAAAAGGACCAAACATCAGAAGTGTGTGTGGGGGGAGAACCCAGCAACTGTGGCAGGCTGAGAGCCAAGCAAAGACACACTGAGGTCCAGGATGCTGCAGGCCAGTTCCAAGACAAGTTAGTGTACACTGCATCTTCGTAAGACTAAGGATGTGAGGGCGGCAAAGGAGAAAGTCAAAATAAAAACAGAATAGGCTTTATTTGACAGAGTGAAATGAAGGAAAAGCTTGGGAACCCACAGAGGAATTGAAAGGATACTGGTAAAGAGCAGGAAAAAAACTGCAATCCAAAGAAGTCCAACAGATGCCACCATGCATCTCCCCAGCAAGGGGATGGAAGCAAGCTGCTTTCCAGATGCAGTGCGACGCAGAGGAAGCAGATGCTAAAGTGCAGCAGTGTGGAGAGCACTGTGTGGGGAGCAGCTCTGAGTGTTAGAAGGTGGGTGTCAGTGAAGTGGTGGGTTCAAAAGCAAGGTGGCAGGTCTCAAGAGCAGACTGGGCCACTTGAAGCGAGAATGCATAGTGAACACATTATGGAATAATGGAGGGACACTACTTTAAAGACTCTCCTTGAGTTACGGGCTCCGCAGCCAGAGGATCTGTGATCTGCACTCTAGGAAACAGTAACCTGAGACCGCATGCTCAATCTGGAACAGCCAACTTCTGTCACCATCCCACCTACCCCACCTCCCTGCCCCCAATCTTTCCTTTTCTATCATCCTTTGTCCAAGAACACAGGCTGGCCAGGTTGTAGGAAAGAAATCTCTGTATTTCAGCGTCCCCAGAGCTGGGAATGACACACATCATTTGATTGTATAGCTTTATCTCCCCTCCTTCAGTTAACCTTGGGTGCACACAGTTAATACTATTAAGTAACTCTTCACTTCTTCAGTGTTTGGCACTTAAAAGTGTGTTTTTTTGAGATCAGATCTCACTGTGTATCCCTGGCTGGCCTGGAACTACTTACAGAGATCTGCCTGCCTCTGCTTCTGGAGTACTGGGACTACCTGGCCCTAAAGTGTGATAATTTTTTAATGTGACTATTACTATACTTTTATTGTAGATTACCCCTTGATAGTGACTATTTAGCAGAGAAAAACATCACTTCAACCTTACAACAATCTAGTCCTTGTTAAACACTGTAAACACTGCCTCTGAAATAAGGGTGATTTCAAAAACAGTAAAAATTAAAGCAAAATTCAATCAACAACCAGCTGTGTATGTCCCAAATGCAAAAGTACAAGTAGCAAGAAAGCAGCAAGGATGGCTCCTCCAGAGCCTCCACCTGCAATTCCTGCAGTGGATGAACCAGAAGAGCTCAGAGGAAGGACTGTAGATCTGCTCAAAGAAGCAAAGAAGGTACAAGCTCCTAAACCAATTCTAAGAGAACACAACCACTGAATGAAGAGTCAATACAAGATAGGAGAAGAATTCAGATCAGAGACAGAAACACTCAAGAAAACCAAACAAATATTGGAAATGAAATACATAGTATGTCAAATAAAAAGCTACCTGGAAAGCCTATGGGAATGGACCAAAGACAGGACAGAGATCTGAGCTTGAAGCAAAGTGGAGGAGTAAGAACATTTTAACAAAATATTTTCAACACAATCACAACTGAAAATTTCTCCTTATTAGGGAAAGAGATGCCAATCCAGGAAGCATTTAGGACACTAAACAAAGACCAGAAGAACCTCTCCTTACCTTATAATCAAAAAAGGTG